GAACATACGCTCCGTTTTCCTTAAAGGACCCACGTTTAGCTGGATATTGGAGACGTGGTGGACACGCATAAAGGTTTGTGACTGACTGAATCAAAGCCGGGACGCGTTCTGAAGGCGGGGAATTGGAAGGTAAAAGCTTCTAGTTCTTTTCAAATCAAACAAACCACGTGCACAGGTGACATTTACATCCTGACATAAAGAGCTTCTTCAGTCAAGTCATCACTGTTATCCGGCTCGACTATTTAAAAGGGCCCAATGAGCCAACACAGCAGCTGATATTCCCGGGAGTGTCCCCTCGATTGAGACGTCCAGCACAAGGACGCTATATGCCCCCGTTTTTATGTTTGTCCTGGGACCGGACAGAGGGCTCACCAATGCTGAATAAATGCGAGACATCGAAGCTGGGCCCATGCTCCTGATGGTCCCTGCAGAGTTCCGACCCTGGCTGCGAGCGGGTGGCCGGTGCCGGCAGTGGCGTCTCCCTCCCACCCGGTCTGAGGGCTTCGTGGGAAATGGAACCAAGGCCGGCTGAGAAAATCCCGGATGTTCCCAGCCCACCGTCTCGGTCCATCTGGCTGAAACGGAAAGAAAAGTTAATTCCTGAGCAGTGAACAGGGAAGCAGCCCTGTGAGCCGGGCCAGGTCAGCGTCCTGCAGGGGGGCCCGGCGGCGAGGGAGCGGCCGGTCGCCACACCCAGAGGCCCTTGCTCCCCGCTGCCCAGGTGAGGGACTGGCCCCGTTGGCCTCTGTGCCCTCAGATGTGAAATGAGAAGGAGAGATGAGGAGATCTGGGGCCATTCATGTGCCCAGGGGTAGTGTGGTGACTCACCGTTCACCCAAGTACGAGGCATTTTTCACTTTTCAACGGAATTGCTTTCTGTTGTAGAGTCAGAGCTGCCCACCCACACAGCCAGGAGATGGAGGCTTCGGGCTAACTGACACCTTGACTGAGATGGAATAGAGATCAGAGCTGCCGTCAGCCCGCAGGCGGCTGGGTGTGGGGGCTGGTCTGTGAGTGCAGACCCCCTCCTGGCCCTGGGCCGCCCCCACCTACCGGATGGTGTGGTGAGAGGGAGGGAGGGAGGGAGGGAGGGAGCTCTGTGTTCTGTTCGGGGCTCCTGCCCAGGTGCCCACGCTGCCCGCCCTCCATGGCGCCTCACGTGGCGGCCGTGCCTCCGTGTCGAGTGGGAGCTGAAGCTGCGTGTGGACGTGGGAGTCGGAGCAGCAGCATCACAGTCGCCACCTGAACCGAGTGGGGCAAAGGTTCTGTCATCCTGCTTCTCACCCAGGACCTGGGCCTCCTGTGGCCATTTATCGGCTTAAAAAACAAAAGGTAAACCTTCCAGTTCATTTATTTATTTTTAATCCTCACCCGGGGATATGTTTTCCACTGATTTCCAGAGAGAGTGGAAGGAGGGAGGAGGAGAGAGAAACTTTGATGTGAGAGACACGGCGATTGGTTGTCTCCTGCACGCGCCCGAATCAGGTACATGCCCTTGACCTGGAATTGAACCCGAGACCCTTCGGTCCATGGGCCGACGCTTATGCATAAGTCATGGCTGTAATAATGATGATTTGAGGAGAAAAATCCTAATTTTTGCATTGATTTCTGAATGGAACAACCACCAGATGCCTGCAAGTCTGCTCTTGGCCAAAAACAGAGCCTGTTTAAAGGAGCAGAAGTAAAACACTGATTCTCAGATGAAAGCGTCCCCCCTTTTAAACACGGAGCACCAGTGACAGGACGGCGTGAGGACCTGTTTACTCCCGTGACGGGGCCAGTGTAAACCGCCGTCGAGGGGGAGCCGGTGGGGGCGGCGCAGCGTCTGGCTCCCTTATATGCCCATGTTTAGGGAACGCTGGTCAGACGAGCCCGGCCCCCGAGCCTCCTCTCAGCACACGGGACGTCTGCGCGCGTGTCCGCCGGACCAGGACCCCGTGGGACTCAGGACCCCTGGACTCAGCGAGGCAGGACGCCCTGCGCCAGCCCAATTCCACTGAAAAACGCGTTTGAGTTTTTCATCACGAAGGACCTTCTCAGCTTCCATGGGCCTTCTGTGCTCACTTCCTTCCTTCCCTGGTTCCCAAATAAAGGCAGAATTCCAGACCAGCTCTGCCTGCAGACCACTGGCCACTGGCCTGGCGTCCGGCCAAATTACTCAGGCACCACCGCACTCGAATTCCTCATCTTCCTGCGGTGGCTTAGCAAGTGACAGGGAAAGCACCCGATGTAAACAGCCACTCGGGGCCAGAGCAAGGCCAGCCGCCCTGACAGCCGCTGGGCGTGACCGCACTGCAGGCGCCCCGCTCCCTCGGCTCCGGACACCTGCAATCACACAGCACGTGCTCCCTACGGGGGTGACGAGCATGTGGGGTTCTGCTTCAGGCTGGGCTTGGCACCTCAAACACACGAAGAGGTTGCTCTCCAAGGGCACGGAGCAAGGGGCCGAGCTTTAATCAAAGACAGGCAAGGTCCCAGCTCCGTCCTGTCCAGGAGCCTGAGGAGGAGACCTCTGAGAACGAAAACGATTAAATGTCTTGGTCAAACGTAGGTGGGACACGCCAGTTCACATTGTGTAGGTTGGGGCACAGCACGCATGATGCTGTTGTTGGACTTAAAGAAAGCGAAAGACACAGCCTAGTCCCTGTGGATGTGGGCGGGGCCCGTGGATGGTGTGGGCGTGGGGTGAGGGGTGCTTGTTATCACACTGCTTTGTGCCTTTTGAATTCCATACCATGAGCATTTTAAAAGTTTGATTAAATTGTTTAAAAGAAAGAAAAAGGAATGTACAGGCCTTTGCATAACAGGAATCCTAACTTTTTTTCTGTGAACTTTCACTTTTCCGCTTTGCAATTATATAAGAGAAGGAAGCAGAGAAGAAAGCGATTGTTTTAATTTCCGGTGTCTCTGCTCAGCCTGGGGGGTCCTGGGGCTGCGTACCTGGCCCCAGCTAAGCAGACAGCCCTGGACTTCCCTGAGCGAGAGACCCGCGTGCCCGCTGCCCGCCGGCTGCTCGTTGCTGCCTTTTCGGGGCAGGTCTCCCTGGGACTGTGCTTGGCAGTCGTCGGGAGCCACCCTGGCCCCGGGTCCTGCCAGCCGTGTGAGGTTTGGTTCTAACAGGTGGGCGCTGATCACTGGGGACTATTTTGGGACACATCTTTCTCAAAAGTGAATCTGGTGTGGGAGCCGCTGGAAATGTCAGTCTGCAGCGTTCTCTCTTTCTACCCCTGCGGTCCCAGCAGGATGCAACAAACTTAACTTTTTAGGGAGAAGCTGATGAGGTGAGATCTGGTCTCGATGGCTATCACACCTGTGGCCTCATTGGAGCCTGACCTCTGGTCGGGGTCAGGCCGGACCGCACACACTGCGGGACTGGCCCCCAAATGTCCTTCCAGGTGCTGGTCTCCGCAGTCTCCTGATGCAAATTCCAGACGGTCCCTCACTCTGTGGAGGTCACACACAGACGGGCCTGTGCTGCAGGGCAGACTGAGCTCGGAGCCTCTGTGGACCCTCTGATCCCCAGCCTGTTCCCACGGGGCACCTGTCTGGTGTGTGCACCCCCCGGGGCACAGCTTCCAGAGCCCAGGACCCTCTGCATACCTGGGACCTACCTGTGGCTGAGGCCCTAGGCAAGGTCATGGGCTGTATAATGTCAACTTCCACAGGGCAGTCTTCCATGTAGATACAACATGTAAACAGTGACGGTGAAAGAAGTTTCATGAGCGTTTATTCAGGTAACTCGCGCCGTTTACAGCGGGAGCTGTGTCCCCTCCTGTGCCCCGGAGGCCTGGCTTGTGGGTGACCAGACGCCGTGTCCAAAGTCCGAGCCTTGCTCACAAGTCACGTGTCCTCTGTAATCCTGGTTTCCACGCGTGTGAGGGGGCAACGTCTCCACTGCCCTGCTGAGCTGGGTCGTTCCTGACGGGTCTTTCCAGCCGAACCCGGGGCTGTTTCCCAGGCCAATAACAGTCATGAGAAACATTTAAAAATACGTTAAGCATCCAAATTATATTAGTTTTTAGAGTTTAAAATAGAATCTCATTGGATCTGAAATGATGAGGTTGGTGCGACAACCGCCCCTTTCAGGGGGAAGGGTTTTGTCACACGGTCATTTGTGCACAGGAAGCAGCCACGGGAGGGGACCAGCACTTTGGGGGGAGGGGGACATGTGACCAGCACTTGGGGAGGAGGGGGACACAGCTACGTGAGCTGAGAGTGATCAACACCCTCTGGAAGGCTGTGCAGTCCTTATGGGGGCCGGGCGGGGTGGGGGGGTGTCAATCCCGAGACCCAGGGCCGTGGTCAGCAAACTTTGGCCCCTTGAGTGTGGCTCTTCCTAAGCCTTAGGAGCACCTTAATTAAGTTAATAACAATGTACCTACCTCTATAGTTTGAGTTTAAAAAATTTGGCTCTCAAAAGAAATTTCAATCGTTGTCCTGTTGATATTTTGCTTGTTGACTAATGAGTTTGCCGACCGCTGACCCAGGGGATCGAGAGGGAGGGCGCGGCGTGCAGCCTCCGGGGCTGAGGGTCCCAGGAAGCGGACAGAAGGAGGAAGCCGCTGTGACAGGGTCTCCTTGGAGGGCAGTGCTCGGGCCTATCGGGGGATTATGGCCCCGGGAAGACGTGACTGTCGCTGTGGCATGTGTTCCCTGAGCCCACACGCTGTCACCCACATTCCGCAGACTGGGGCCCCCCAGGGCTCTGTGTGGGGACCTCGTGGGGCCTCTGACGTGTCCTCCCAGCCTGGGGGCAGGGGGCTTTTCCCAGCTCCTAGCGAGGGAGCTTCAGAAGTCGATTCTGATGAATTTCGGTCGGAATTCTCAGATTCCTTTTAGCAGACGGCCCTCCATGTTTCCTGGGAGAACGTGCGAGGCAATTTCTGCGCTGACCGCCCAGTGGCCATGTGGTGTCTCCGGCTGTTTCGGTTGGGACGCTGCCCTGAGTCGTTGGATTAAAATGGGATCGATCTGCCTGCGGCTGTGGGCCCCGGCCAGGCCCCGCGGCCCCCGAGGCTGCCTCAAGCCCCAGTGAGGCCCCGCTACGGGATCGGGAAAGACAGCGTTAGAGCTATAAGGAAACCTGAACCTCTCATCTAATCGCTTTGAGGCCGGGCCTTGTGGAGTGTTTGTGGGGGAGGATGGACCGAGCCTGGCGTCCAGAGCGCTTCCTCATCCTCATGGCTCAGCTCTTGCCCAGCTGGACGTGGAGGTGCCGAGGGCGGGCTTGGCTCCGGACACCGCAGTGAGGCAGGTCTCACAGTAAATCAGGCCCTAATCCTTCTGCTGGTTGAGGGCCTTGCCTACAGTTTGCAAAAAACACAACATCTGTGAAGCGCAGCAAAGCCAAGGACAATAAAACGAGGCGTGTTTGTACTTACGTCGTGTGCTGTTGCTGGTCTTGAACTGGGAATGCAGTTCTCGTAGGAAAAAGCCAACTTATTTCAGAAGCGTGGGGAGGTCCGTGTGGAGGATAAAGTGTTCTTGCCTTTCCCACAGCCCACATGTGTCTGCTAGGTCAGCCGTGACTCCCTAAATCTTAAAGGCGGCGGAGGAGGAGGATGCTCACACGGGAGACACTTGTGCTTGATGCTCAGGTTTGTTCCCCTGTGTCATGTGTGGCTGGCTGGCCCTGGTTCCATCCTCGCCAAGAGATTCGCAGGTGGCCCTTCGCTCCCAGCCAGGACCCTCGCGGGAGTAACTGCTCGGGCTGGGGGAAGCCGCGACCCCTTTGGCCTCGTGAGCAGGTCCCGCTTTCCAGGTCTCCTGGAAGCCTGAGCACAGTCCCTGGAGGAAACGCGCGCTCTGGCCCAAGTCCTGGAGTCCGGGGTTTGTCCAGCGGCTCCCACGAGTAGATCGATGGAGAGATAGCTTCCGAGAGCCAAACCGGTTGGCAGAGACTTTGCACCGGCTCCTCGACCTCTCCACGTCGGTCTTCAGCACAGCTCAGCGTTTCCAGATGTTCCAAGTTTCATGGTTTAGAGACTTGGGGCCTAGGAACCCTATTCCCACCCCCTCAGAACACTCCCCGCGGAACCTGGAGCTCTTTCTAACCGCGGCCGGCACCAGAAAACAGTGTGATGGCTCAGAAGGGGCATGTGATGGCCTGTGCCACCTGCCTCCCGCGACTGCCCTGGTTTTGTTTTCCAAGGTTCCGTGAGCACATGGAGGGGTGAGTTTTGAACTCTCATGACTGGAAAAGCAAACCATATCTGTTTGTTTTTGTTCCATTTTCCGAGTTTTATATAGCGTTCCCATAAATAAAACATTGTGCTCTGAGACTCTGAGGCATGAGGACAAATATAGTTTAGCCACCAGCAGTTGGGTTGTTTCTTAGGAACCCTGAATTTTATGCTAAAAAATGATTGGGGGGCTCCAAAATGTTATTCAATGGAAATTTCTCCTCTCATTTATGCATGAAGTGTTAAAAACATGTATTATTTGTGTGTGAAAACTTTTTGTTCCTTACCTTAGTCCGTAAGGTATGGGCAAGCCTGCAAGTACTGATAACATCTGGTGATAGCCTAGTGCCCTCCACCGGTCGGGGTGAGTCAGGGTTCATGTCCTGGTTCCGCTGGATGCTGACTGAGCTGGAGGGTGAATCCCTCTCATCAGTGGTTCCTGTGGATGATGGTGCGTCTGTGCGAATCTGCACCAGCTCGTGGCAGTTAGAGTATTTGCGGGTTCATGACCAACAGTGTTTGGAACGGGCCCAGTTCTTTCCTGCGACATTTCATTCTCTGCCAGAGCAGCCTCCGGGCAGACATTTCTGTGGGTTTTGATCGTTAGCACCAGGGACATTCTACCCCCGCTCCCCCCGCCCCCATGTGTGGCCCACGGGCTCCTCTCCTGAGCTGGTGGCCCTTTCTCTTTCAGGCGGGTGCCAGCCCACCCACCGCCTGTCTCACCTGGTGTTGTGGGTCCACGTTGTCTCAGGCACAGGCAACCCCTCACCTGCACCGACATGGAAACAGGTGAGCGTACCTAGCAGAGCTGGAGGGTAGTCTTTTGGTGAATGCCCGCTCCCTTTCATTCACAATTTGCAGCAAGTGTCCTTATCTGCATTTCTGGATCTAATAAAGAAAGAACGGGTTTAAATAGTCTCTGAGCAGTGAAAACCAGGAAGGACTATAAATGGTTAAAAATAACTTTGAACATGTTTAGAAATATAATTGCTTTGGAGACACAATCTGGGGCTCTCAGCTGGCCCCACAAACCAGCACTTCGCACATGCACGCGGCTCAGCGCCTGCTCACGGAGCCCGTGTTCCGAGGAGGAACGACGCCCACCGTGGAGCCCCAGCTCCATGCAAGCCGTCCGTCACACTGAGGGTGGGACACGGGTGTTATCAGACATGATCTGGCAAGAGATCTGCCTGCTGATTTCCCTTTTGCAGGAAGCCCTGGGGCCGTCCCCCACGGAACTGGGAGCAAGACCGAGACAGCAGGCAGGGGTGTGCTGGGCCTGGTGTGCCCACAGGTGCTGAGTGTGCACGGTGTGGCTTCAGGAAGCAGGCAGTGCGAGAAGCTCGAAGTGTCCGTGCCTTGGGAGATTTAGTGCTGTTTTATGTAAGAACCAAATAAAGAGCCAGGCAGACTCCGGAGACACTGAGGTCTTTAAAGACAGACACATGGTTCATCGAGGGTCTTGTGTCGAGTGACGTTACGGTCACAGAGTGTGAATGCTGAGTGTGGGCCTGGACCGGCAACCAGGGAGCCTCTGCAGACAGGCTCGTCCCGATGGTGCAGCCAGGACACTGGCCGTGCCCATCACACAATCACAGACGCGTCCACGCGTGTGACATAGAAACCTAGGTTTCGGGTTTGATCCCCAGTTGGGTGTGTACGGGAGGCAACTGATCAGTGTTTCTCTCTCATTGACATTTCTCTCGGTGTCTCTCTCTCCCCCTAAAAAAAAAAAAAAAATCTCTCTAAAACAAAAATCAATAAAAACATGTTCTCGGGGGAGGATTAAAGAAAAAAGAGCCATCCAGTCCCAGATGCCGATCAGTGCGTGCGATGCGGCGACAGGCTCTCTGCCTTTGATCACAGCCTTTCATTTCCCCAAACAGCTCTCTGACGTCGGGGCCTTGATGTGACTACAAAGCCGCAATGAGCCCGAAGAGCATTCGGTTTTCCGTGCACAAGTATCCCTGCCCACACGTGCTCAGGCCCATCTAATGGAGCTTCAGTTGTTCCAAGAATAACGCTGCCCTTGCTCCAAAGTCCAAACACTGCACTTGAAAGGCTCTGAGCCCACATGGTCCCCACGGAGCAGGAGGCTTGTTCACGACTGTTCGCTGGGGGCATTGCCAACGTCATAGTCAAACGACAATATTCCCAAGAAGTTGTAAGAACCATATAATTAGAATCATGACCATTGGGTGGGTGAGTCTCAGGAGCACCCCGCCCTGGACATGCTCAGCGCCACTGTCCCCCCAGGGTGGGCCCCTCCTCACCGAGCCACTTCCTGTCCCGGTGTGTGAGAGATGCGTCTCCTGGACCCCTCACGTCTCCCTCCTCTGAAACGAACCCACATTCTCGTTTCCGTCTGATGCAAAGTGTGAACAACAGCAACCGACTGCTGGGGACATGGAGTTCCACACCAGGGGCTGGAGGGGCTGCAGGCAGCGCACCTGTGAGGCCGGGGTCACCAGCGGCTCCCGAGAGTCCTGCTCAGGGCCCAGCGTCCCCAGGTGAGAGGAAGCGTCCGGCCTGGGGAGCTCCCAGCCACAGGAAAGAGCCCGACGGGCAGGAGCGAGTCCAGGTGAATGAGGCGGAAGGAACACCTGTGAGTGAAGGGGTGCTGGGCATTCTCTGCGTTTCTGAGGGAGGACATCCTGACACCTGCGACCAGATGGGGGTTCCCAGGGACGGCCAAGTGAGGCAGTCGGGACACAAAAGGACACCCACGGTGGTTCCACTGGTACAAGGTCGTCGAACCCACGGAGACAGAACGGGGAACGGGGCTGCAGGTAGAACAGAAACCGGCGGGAAGGAAGCGGTCAGGGTTTACACAGACAGCGCGTCGTGTGAGGGGCTGTGTGAGGTCTGGGGTGGCCGCGGCCGTGTCTGCCCAACACGAAGCACTTCACGCCAGTGAGCTGTGCGCCCCGTGGTTACACCGTAAACTGTATGTTACATTTACCACGATAAAAAGGAGGCCTTTCTGACAAATGTTAGCAATCATTCTAAAACATGTTTTTAGCATCACACCAGACATAAAGTAGTAGTGCAATGTGATGTCAGACACTTCAGCTTCCCCGCCCCCTGTACTTGCCTCCTGTATTTCCCCCACTATATACATAGGAAAACAGCAAGCTGTAGAAAATATGCCATTTGGAAGGAACCGGTGCTAGACGGTCCTCCCACCAACTATTTGATGCAGTAAAGAGAAAACTGACCTAACGATGGGAGTGGGAGCGGCAACAACCTTCACTCCACCAGGGGCCAGTGGTAGGTCGCGCCGTGGAATTCCCGCGCCCTATGCTGCGGCCACGAACGCCCAAACTCAGACAAACAAAGACCAGACGTCACTGAGACTTGCCCAGGTGGAGACACGTGACAGGATGAAGGTTTTTTGCTCTTAAACTTCTGGGGTGGTAACATTTATAACCTCCGTATTCAGACATCGAAGCCTGCTGATTCTCGTTCACAGACAGGCATGTAAAGCGAATAGACTGGCTACCGCAGCCGCCGGGGCCGGGCCGGGAGATGTGGTCCGAGCTGCCCGATTTTGTCCTGCGGGAGCCTAGGGCAGGAGCTTCCAGAGTTAAGAACTGGAACGTGCGATTCCTTCTCCAGGATGCAGCCCTGCCCTGCTGGGAAGCATGTCCAGCCTCTAAAATGATGCCTTTCGTTGGACACTTTCCAGAAAACAACACCTTTTAATGTCAGTGAAAGTGAATACAGATGTGTATTAAAGGGGCAGGTATTGATCTCAGAAGCCAACATCTTACAATCTCCAAATTTCTTAATTGTGAGGGGATTTGGCAAATCAATTCCCAATTTGCCTACATTAGTATGCTATCTTATGATTTCACGTTTCCACCCTTAAGGGAGAGAAGAAATAAACTTCCATGGTGACTGAGCTGCTAACATGTCCTTCCTACCACGTCAGGCAACCTCTGCCTCCCGTCCGGGTTTGGAAACGGCTCCCTTTCAAGCCTAAATCGACGAGAATATCTGGGATCAGACCAAGCAGACGGAGATGTGTTCACGGACATCAGATGGGAGATGTCAGGGCAGACCTTCAACTCGGAGCTGGGAGGACATTGGCAACGGCACCTGAGACCTGACGTGGAGGCTCACTGGTCTCTGAGCCGGTGGGGATGAGAGAAGACGCTGCAGGTGGCCTTGCCCGCCGTGGAGGGTCAGTCCTGGGACCCCTCCTGGGCCCAGTGCTCAGCTCCCCCTGATCTGCAGCACACACGTGGTTACCATGGGAACGCCATTAATCACAGATTTGTCCTTAACTTTGCTTTTGCAGTTTCTTTTCATGTTGTGGAGCTATATTTTTTAAAATATGTTTTTATTGATCTCAGAGAGGACGGGAGAGGGAGAGGGCGATAGAAGCATCAGTGATGAGAGAGAGTCATGGATCGGCTGCCTCCTACACACCCCACACTGGGGATCAAGCCAAAACCTGGGCGTGTGCCCCAACCAGAATCAAACCATGACCTCCCGGGTCATAGGTCAACGCTCAACCACTGAGCCACGCCGGCCCGGCTATTTTTTTAACCTTGAAGTGCCCATGGCTCGGGGGTGACTGTGCCCCAGACCGACTGGATCTGACCCCTGACCTGAGGAAGCAGTTGCCTGGCCCACAGGCCACACAGCGAGCGGGGTACGGGGCCTGAGCACTCTCACCCATGGAGGAGCCCAGCCTCCGACCTGGTTGTGATAGAAATGGCTGACATTTATTAGCTCCATCGATGCATGAGACATCGTAGCAAACATCATTTTGAGCCCTGATCGATGAGATTCCCATCTTAATTAGCCATGAGACAGGCCACAAATAGGACGTGAGGTTACTCATTGACAGAGAGACACAGCTCGCCAGCAAGGCTTTCTCCAGGCCTGTCCTCTGCCCGGCATGTCAGGTGCCTGAGAGGATGAGGACGTTGTGTAAACCCCAGGCTGGCCCTCCAAGGGAGGCCCGGGAGCTCCAAGCCCAGCCCAGCCTGGCCCCTGCCCTGGATCTCACTCCTCACTTCCCTCTCTACCTGCCCGCCCCGCACAGCCCCGGCCCCTCCAGGATCAAGGTCCACACCTGGTCGCCGTCCACACCTGGGCTCCGGCTCAGCCTGACCAGACAGGCTCCTCTCAGAGGCAACCATGCTTGACGAACAGAATTCAAGTTAGAAAACAGAGAAAAAGCAACAAAGGCGTCATGTGAAAAAAATGCGTATACTGCAGGAAAATGAATTTGCGCTGTTTTAAGCCAAAATAATAGTAAATACTGCAAACAAACTCACACAACAATGAAGGAATAAAACAAAGAAAAGATTCTAGAATTTAAGGACCGGCATGCCCAGAGCAGAGCAGCCCGTCCAGGTCACCACCCTTGGGGTTCCGGCCGCGTGGAGAGAACCCAGGGGTCGGCGGGGGTGAGGTGGGGGGGGCTGCGTGGGGTGAGGCTGAGGTACGGCCGTCAAGTCTGTGTCTAAAGGTCATTTTGCTGAGCTGTGCAGACACTGGGAGCTGTGGCCATGCACGAAGGGCAGGCCAGAGGCGGTGGCAGCGTGGAGGGCGGGTGTGCAGACAGGGGTCACACCGGGGACATTCAGGAGGAAACCCGGTGAGGGGTGAGGCAGGAGGAGGAGGTGCTTCGGGGGGAGGGACAGTGACACTCACAGAAGCAGGGACGTGTTCGTGGAGGAAGCCTCGGGTCATCGAGGAGGCAGGAGCACGGCGCTCACGGGAAACGCTGCCTGAAGCTGGGCTTCCCTTTGTCCAGAGACGTGCCGGCTCTCGCGGCTCCTTAGGGCCCAGCTGTCCGGGTGGCGCCGGGACCCCGGGCCTGCACAGCTGGGAGTCACACTGGGTCCTGTGTCTCCTGCCCCGTGTCCCTCAGGCTGGCCGCGCCCTGGCTCTGGAGTAGCGGCCTCACGAGACGGCCAGTTCTCGGGAGAGTGGGCGCTGACGGAGACGTTTGCTTCCGTACGAGCTTTGGAGCAACGGGAACAAAGTGTTTCTTCTAAGAGGCTGAGGTGCTTGCTGCCGGGTCCCTGTCCCGTCTCAGCGGCCGCCCGCGTGGGACCCTCATAGGTGGGTGTCCAGGGGGTGCACAGGGCGGCCGCGTTTGGGAAGCAGCGCTGCCAAAGAAAGATGAGGCGCCTGTTTGTATTAGACGAGCTGATATAAGCTGATTCTGAGATTAATTGGTATATGCTCACAGACATCTGTTCTGCTCAATGTGTTTTGAGATGTGACTTAATTACGAAACCCTACCAAAGCAAACGGTGTGTTTTTCACATGGGAGGATCCATTTACTGTGGAATCTCTCGTTTCAGGCGGTTCTGTTGTCCAAAAGTACAGTTTTGAGAGATGAGGTTAGCTGAACAGGAGTTGTTTGGGCTGGGATTTCATTCAGCGAGAGGCCTTAGACCAGCCGTGGGCAAACTACGGCCCACGGGCCAGATCCGGCCCATTTGAAATGAAAAAAACTAAAAAAAAAAAAAAAAAAGACCGTACCCTTTTATGTAATGACGTTTACTTTGAATTTATATTAGTTCACACAAATACTCCACCCATGCTTTTGTTCCAGCCCTCCGGTCCAGTTTA